ATTGCGTGCTCTGTGTCCAATTGTGCGACCGTCCATACTCGATGGTGTGAGTCACCTTGACTCATTAAACGTCAATGTGTCTGTGATCATCCATATGAATCTTCCAGTCACCTAACTGTCGCCTGAATATGAGGTAGTTCTAATACAATCATCTGTTTTAGTTGTAAAACATTCATTTTTATAGCAATATCCTTGATAGCTTGCTGTAATATCTTACATCACCATGCGTGAGGGGTTTGCTTCTGTGCTTGAGATTGAAGAATGATACGATAATTCGGATGTCAACTGTTGTGACAGGCGCTGTCGAATACTTGGGTACAGTCGTATAATCAGTGCAGGGACGATCAATTTATTGTCTAAAGTCGGCGATTGTCGAACGCCCATTACTCATCTGTGTGAAAGAATAGCGGATAAAATCTCAATAGCCATTTCTAAAGCGACATAAGTCGAATGTGGAAAAATGCCGGTGAATCTGCTGATGACTAGATAGAACGACGCAATTTAGAACTTAATGTAGATATAAGCCTTCGTTGCAAAAACACTTGACTCTGAGAGCTGTACTTATCTAATCCTGGTCAGCCATTTACAGCACTCATCACAAAACACAAGCAACTGTTTGGTCTTGATCGATACTCGAAATTGTACCATACACTTTTGCGTCAAACAGCCCATTCTAGACTATATCAAGGCCAAGAAACAATCATTAAAATGCATGGCATTTTTCTCTCAGGGTTTGTAAAGGCCTACTTTGAATTACTTCGACCCCGATATTGCTGTACAGCTGGTCTCGTGTTGTTAGATTAAACATACGAAAAACGTTCTTACTCATGAACAGCATTCGATACGTTTGACTATCTCGTTATACCGCTGATGGAAGGGCTCATCCTCATTTGTTTTTGACCTGATTGTCTGTCTGCCTCATCTAGTTACAGTCGACTTGAAAAGCGTGTTCATCTGCTTGCTACGCACAATTATAACCCTTATAAGATATTGGTAAAGTAATCTCTAAAGTAAAACCTCTGACCAGGCCCCAAGAACTTCTTACCACTGTCACTTGGTTACCTCATTTATCTTAATCTGTAACGCTGATCTTACTGCAGCCGTATAATAGCCCCACCCGCCTCTTGAGTGGGAGAGTTTGACAAAGCTGCGTAAAAAGGAGTCTTAATCAACTGATTCCTGTAAGATCTCAATATATTTTCTCAGGCATACAGCTTTCGGGATGTTTTTGATACAGCTGCATTACTGACGTTAAAAGACTATTTAATCATTGATCATGAACAAAGCCTACGTCATCTCTTTGATGAGTGAAATTCAAGCGTACAGCGATATAATCTCAATCAAATCGATAATTTAAGTAGCGTTTCCTCGACATGCAAGAAATTCTTACCACCCTTCTAATAAGAACGCTTGATCCTTCTTTCAATCATCTTTTATCATTCCCTGTCTCCTGTATAGCTTTAAGCCGAAGAATGATCGACAGGATTTAAGATCACAATTACTCTGTGTGCCTTTTTGCCACTCATCCTGACGTAAGTCTCATTCGTGATGCTGATTTTTTCAGCGCCCAGTCTAAGTTACTACCACTGCTAATTGTCGTCACCGTTGTCAAACTAGCTTATTTGCTGCGCTCAAGGCAGAAAGCTTATCAAAACACCAAAATTTTGGGCTCTAGGTATGATCTCCATGTTAAATTTTCAGTGCATTAATCGTGCTTGCAGCACTCTGGTCTTCTACATTCCTGCAGTATGCAGCATTGACGGATACTTGATGTCAAGATTAGATATATAAAATCTTATCGAGACTTAACGATACCGACATAACGATACCTATTAAAGAACAACAATCGTATTTGCTGTGGTCGATGATCATTGGAGGTTCTTAATAGAAAGAGGAAGATTGAAAATTATGGGTTCTGGTTTCAAAAAGCAGTACTCGGATCATACTTCATATCGAAGATCGCAAAATCACCAAGTCTGATAAGGTTCTACTGCATCCATTTTATGTAGATAAAAGTATTACGTAAAGCTTGAAGGCCAATATAAAGTTTAAGCAGGTGTTATGCTTAAATGAGTCGCTTTCTTTTCTTTGATTTTCTCTCAGTAAACATCGTGTTCGGGTGCTACCTATTCTGAGTTATTTATCAGTAGTCGTGCGCATTTCCCGTCCTCTGCATTAAATTTAAGTCTAGGTAAGCCAGTACCGATCGCCTGAAAGTTTATGCTCAATGATAAATTTTTGGCTTCTGGCAAGATAGCGCTGCTCACAAAGAGCATTCTCTCAGTGCCGATGTCCGTTTTAAGAAATTGGTTTCCGGTATCGTTGGCTTTCGACTTTGAAGTGGTCCTAGCAGAAGAGTCAAGAGCTTTAAACCAGACCTGCGAGAGTGTACCAAATTGATCGCGTTTGCAAGCGTTGCGCTTACTTTCATTCTATATTCATACTAAAAGTTATCTTGTTCGTAAGTTGGTGTAGGTTTGAAGGGGAAGCAGCTGCAGACACACTTGAAGCGCAATCGGGCTACCGTGGAACTTGCGCTGATGATCAGCTCAGCTGTTGTCCGGGCAGGCGATAAGGAGGTACCAATTACTAAAAATATTACTGGCAAGAATAAATACGAGCTGCCTCAGAATTTACAAATCCGCTTTTCACGATGCAGGTAGACATACCATCTCTGGCTCTAATAATATCCCACTTTTTAGGATGTAGAATGGGTTTGGGCCGATTTCGCAAAGATCCAAATTTCAGTAGATTGTTTATGGCAACGAGATTAGATATATTTTCGAAAGTGACCTAGCATGGCCGGCTTCATGCACAATCAAAGAGCGCATTGCGTCGTTATTGTACGGCCATTCGCAAATCTAAAGTGATGTCAAATAGTGACGGAGTGGTCTTATCGCCTTAAAAGAATCTGAGCGGTCTAGTTCACGTCTTGGGTGACGCATCAACCTTCTCCGGATCTTGTGCTTTGCTTCAAGCTAATTAAAGCAAAGCACAATACATCGACCGCGTGAGTAGCGAGTGTTGGTGCCCATCCATCCACGCTGAAAATGTTTTTAGATTTTGGCCTATTTCTCGCGTAGAATTGGACAATTTCACAGCAGACTATTCACGGATGGATAAGCACCAATACGCGCTACTCGCGCGGTCGAGAATTTTCAGAACATCCGGAAGCGACCGTTGTTTGGAGCGACAGCCTCCAACTCAATGAAAATGACATGGAAAAGAAAATCATGCCCCATATCCCTCTTGTTATGTTCCAGATCGTAAAGGGCCCCAAAATATAAGCGTCAAGATGACGCCTGCTGGTGAAGAGCGCCTGTCAACTTTGATAGACTTCGTAGCAAATCATGATACAACTATTTAGAAGCTGAGCTATATGCATCAAGTGCGCGACATCATGTCTGAGAGTCAAAACATGCAAATTAAGCCGTGGATGTCAGAGACAGGAGAACAAATACAAATGAGCTCAGGGGATAAAAAAGTTCAATTACTGCAGCAGGGCTGCCGTAGCTTAGCGCTTGAGGAAGCGTAATATAGGTCACCGACCTTTCGCTCTATACTTAGAGCAAGTACGAGTTAGCAGATCACAATCCGCTTACTCCAAGAGTAATTGTTGCCTTAACCCAAGGCTAATTACTCTTCCGTTCCAAATTCAAAAGTGAATGTATAGATTTTCCTAAATATATAGTAAAATCTAAATACATGCA